TTCCTGCTTTTTCAACCACAGCTGCTTTGCGTGACACAGCTGAAGTTGAAAAAGCAGTAAAAAAGCAGTTTTTCAAACACTGCACACCTGCGTGCAGCGCTTATCAGCTGTCCAGGCAGCACAGCTGAAGTTGTAGTACACGTGCGCGCAAAACGTAATCACCGAACCGGTTGTAACACCAATTGAATCCCACCCCTGGACTATCTTCTATTTTGTTTTAAGTTGCCATCAAGAAGCAGGATTATAAATTTAATACTAAATCAAATGAAGACTATAAATCTAATTTTTTTCCAGTATGTAAGTATATTAAGAAGATTTATAATGTCTGTAAATTCAGCAGTTCAAATATAAATCAAACACTTAGTGAATGTGTATACAAATGAGCATGCAACTGTCACATGTCTACAATTTGGATACAAATACATGCATGTTAGTTCTTTTGCAAACTGGAATTTGTATACAAATAACCTTTCATGCAGTGAATACAAAATAATGTCTGGCTAACACTATGGTGAACTTGCATCGTTAATACACACATTCTGAGCTATGTTATATGAGACATCAATTACTCTGTTTCAGGCATTTGGCTCTAAACATTTGTTCTAGATTAATTTTAAGATAATCCAGAATTCTTGGCAATGGAAACATATCCTTTTGCACAACAGAATGTTCTTTTAATAAGGCTGGTGGATATAAATATAAACCTTTCCCAAACACTGGAAAATAATTGATTTCTTGTTCTGCTTTTAGCTTTTTGACCTATAGGAAAAAAAATACTATGATTAAATTCCTCTAAAACATACTTTCAAACAATTTTAAAAGAAGTTAGAGAAGTATGGCTCATGGAAGGAGCACAGGACAAATTGTCTGCTTTCAGAAACAATAACAGTATCACATAAATTACATTAGGTATCTGCAATATTTTCACAAAAGGGAACAAACAAAGCTGTTGTGGAATGTGGGTTATAAAATGAAGATTTAAAACTTGTTCTCTTGTTATCTGAGTTTCAAGTCTGTTTTGACTTTTAAAGAAAAAAATATAACCACAATAGTTTAAAAGTCTGAAATTGTAGTATTTGTTGTTAGAATCAACTAAATAAAAAAAATTTTTTTTGAAAGATTGAATGCATTTAACCTAAAATGGCAAAATAATTAGGAATAAATATTTTAAGGTATCAGTGTTTTATTACTGGAATTATAAATGGAAATATTTTCTTAAATATTACTTAAAGAATTACAAAGAATTAGGTTAAAGATAGCTGCCCAGATGTTGATAAATTCCACTTTCTATGAGTTACTGCCAGCACAGCTTAAAGTAAAAAGGACTGTAAAGTTGCAATCTAGCACTACTGTGGATAATTCAGAACAATTTTCCAGACAAAAACAACATCAATTACTAAAAACATCTGTATACAAATGTATGTATTGTGATATGAAATACTTATTCTAATATAAAACTTTCTTGCAAAAAAAAATGGAAAGGGGTGTGTGTGTGTGTGTGTGTGTGTGTGTGTGTGTGTGCATGCTAATTCAGTTACATCTTTATTCTTTATTTCTCTAATTTTCTTTGTGTCCGGCATCAAAAATTCCTTAAACTAGCTATCTTTCATTCTACTCGCATTTTTTGTTCAATCCTACCTTTAAAGCTTTCCCATCTGGTTTCTGCCACTATCATCCTCTGAGTGGCCCTTACAAAAAGTATTTTCAATGCCCCACTTCCCAATCCAACTGTCCTCACTCCTTCATTTCTATAAGATCTGTTCAGTCTTTGATATTGTTGGTTATTCTCTTCTGTTTGATTTCCCGTTTATCCAAAGTTGTCTTCATGATTTGGTTCCCAGTTGGTTCTCTTCAAGTTAAGCTCTATCTCATCAAACTCACTATTTTCAAGATGACATGTATTTTCTGTCTTTGATTTTTTTTCCCCCCTCAGGTTTCTGTACTTGGCGTTTGATATGGTTTCTGTCTGTCTATATTAATTTTGTCACTGGTAGGACAACCTAAGATTTCCAGATGTGTATTGATAGCATTTGATCATACACACACACACACACACACACACACACACACACACACACACACA